TATAGAGGGTAGATTGGTGTAGTTCTTTTATTCTTCAAATACAAGAAAAATAGTGTAAAATTTACCAATAAGTAACTTAAAACAGAGGAAAGAAAATAATTTTTACTTGAAGAACTGGCTTGTAAGAATTTCTTACGAAGAAATAGAACTGAAATGAATAGTATTAACAAACAAGTAAATATGTATAGGTAACAAGAAATCTGAGATTATGTCAGCTAGGGGGAGATTTGGCTTATAAATCAGGACCTGACTATGAGACATTAGGAAAAATAGTGCTAGTGTCTATTTTGTATCTGTTACAGCCTTTATGCTTTATAAAGCAGCTATCAGGAATAAGGAAAGTAAACTTCAACTACTCTGATCCATCTAATACACATACTTACATGCTTGCTTCTCCCTTTCCAGTGAAGTACCAGTGTGCTTAATAGCTTAGAAAGCTTCTGCTGCTGAAAGGGGCGTAGCAGCCAACGCTGTATACAAAATTAGTGGTGTTTCAGCCTTGCCATTGTATTAGAATCCAAGTACTTAATGAAATCTCCATGAGTCCTTTGAAAATAGAGAGAATTAAATCAAGAAATAGAATTCCTGTCTTCTGTCTCTCAGCTGATGATTTGTTATTATTTCAGAGATATACATAGATAACGTACTAAAAACCTTTAAAACATCTGAAAAGAATGGAACCGGCAAAATCAGCACAGTAGAAAGGGATCAACATCAAAGGCTTATGTTTCCACATAAGTGACTAGAAAATGTCAATACTTATAAGCATGATCTGTACAACTTTGATTTATATAAACTCTATTTGAAAACTAAAGACGAAAAATCAGTCTTGGATGGCAGCCTTCTTCCTTCTTCAGGAATTCTGAAGTCTCAGACTCAGAGTCTCAGGTGTGCTTGTAAATTAGAAAAAAGATGAGTTCCAAATAGTTTTACTCAGACCTTCAGCTCACTTCTTCTCTTTTGGTTTTTTTACAAGCTTGAGCTCTGGGAGTTCTGTAGTGTCCTAGTGTGAGCCAGAATGTATAGTCTGGCTTTTTTCCAACTAAATTCATACTGGTATTTTGGTCTGGTATGAGATCTCTAACAAGGTAGAAATTAGATTTCCCCTTTAAATTACTAAACATTTGTTATTGAAAGTGTGTTGTGTGGGATCCCCCCTAGGTTTGCCTGGTTTTGGCTTTTGGGGGTTTTTTTGTTTGTTTTAATTCTGTGCTTAATTTTAGGTACCAACCAAAATGTTGTTAAAACAAACAAACAGTTGTTTCTTCTTCATTGACTTCAAGTGCTCTTAGAGGTGTTGTGGATTTTCTTATTCTGCCTGCAAATGTATTACTAAATGAAAAAGCTTCAAGGAAACTGAAGAAGTGAAACAGAAGTTGAACAGGTTTTCTACAGTTAAAATTGTTACCATTAAAATAGTCTGCTATGTAATGTCTTGCTGAAACCCTTATCTAAGGAACTAGACACCATAAATAACCTTGTTCTGAGCAGGTTTTAGATGAGGCTGACAGAATGCTGGATATGGGATTTGAACCTCAGATAATGAAGATCCTGATAGATGTGCGGCCTGACAGACAAACTGTTATGACAAGGTAAGTAAACATAGTAGTGCTTAGTACTTGAACACTGTAAATGTAAGGTTATTGAACAAGTTAACTTCAAAACAAATATGTCACTTTCCATGAGATTTTTACTAGCCTAAATGGGAATGGCATCCGTTTTCTTTCTGATTCTGTCTAGTCAGCCCTACTGAGTCATTTGACAATTTTACTTTCATTTCTTGCCCCTTCTCTGATTTTTGCATCAACTATAAAAACAACTGCGTTCTTACCAAAAAGGAAGGTGTCCTGGGAGTGCTAGAATTTGCCATTTCAATTTGAAATGCCAGCTTCCACTTCCCCATCTGGGACCAAACGTGTATCCTAACCTTCTAATTAGTATCTGTGCTAGTCTATACCTAGCTTAATTTTGAAATGATGGAGCTTTTGGGAGGTTAACAATGCAATATCCCCAAAATAATTTTTGTTGCTCTATTTTGCATTGGAGCTGTTGTTTTAGAGATAAAAATAGATCAGAAGCTTGCTTTTTAGGTATCATTGAACTACTAAATTCATTTTTGGTTTCATTAGAAAGGCTCTGTAACTGCTGCCTGTACGTTTAACCTAGAAAGTTATCTTTAAAGCTTGAGTGATATTCACTAATAACTTCTTAAGATATTTCTAAATGTTAGATAAGTTTGCTACTGTTATTGCATACTCAAGTGTTTCACTGTTGTGTAAGAAAGAAAAGAAAGAAGAATGTGATGAAATTAATGAATTGGAGAACATTTTGCACTCTATTCTCGTGTGTGTGTGTTTTCTTTACTTCCTGTTTAGTGCTACTTGGCCTGATGGTGTTCGTCGCCTAGCAAAATCTTATTTGAAAAATCCCATGATTGTATATGTTGGCACTCTTGACTTAGCAGTAAGTTATGTTTAAGTTATGTTTTGGGTTTGTTGGTGGGGTTTTTTTCCGTTCCTTTTTTGGGGAGAAGAACCTACAGCTAAACCAGGAAATATTTTACTTTTAATTATAGGTAAGTAAATGCATGTAACTTTAAAATCAATCCAAACTTTCAAAAAACAGCTCTAGAGTATACTTTCAAAGCTTCATTAAGAGTTTAGAAAGATCTCAAAAAAAAAAAAAAAAAAAAAAAAGTAGAACTTTATTATTACATTTCTGTAACAAGATCTTGAAGTCCTAGTAGAAGACATGGCAAGAGACAAGTATAAATCCAATTGAAGTTTGAATATTGTACTCTACAGTGTTCTTGCCTGAACCCTCATTTTTGCAGTCTTCACTTCTGTTCAACAAGTTCTTGTTCCTTTTCCTTCTGAAGGTCTTCTTTCTAATGCTTAGTCTTCTTATCTGGATCTGTGTTTCTTAACTGCTGCTTTCTCAAAGCTCTCTACTAAACTCCTGGAGGGCACTTGACTAAAGCAGGAACTTAAGTGTTAGAGTAAGACCTATCTTTAAATTCCAAAACTTCTAATATGTAGATGTAGTTGCATACTTGTCATGCCTGTGCAGCTGTGTGTAGTTGGCTTCAGTGCCAGCAGAATTTACAGAAATAGTAGTTCTTCCAAGGTCTCCACATCCTGGTCCAGAGATTGCTTTGAGTTTGGTTCTTAAATTATGAAATTTTCCTTTTCAGTTCCACTTTTTTAATGATAGGGAACTTCATATCCAATTTGCTCTTAGGTGGAAATAGGGGGAGGATGTACTTTTCATCTGTTCTGTTCAGAACTATACTTTTGTCAAAGGGCATTACTTCTCAAAGACAAGAAGATTGGAATTTGAAAGATACCAACTGCTCTTGTACCTCTCTTGTCCAATGCATTCATCTCTTTTATAGGAGCTTCCCTTAATTGAAGAGGAGACCTCGGGTGGGGAGAAAGGTTCCCATGTAGAGAGAGAACCAATCTATGTACTTGCTTGATTCTTCAACCTTTGCCACAAATTATGATGCAGTGCAATGAGAATGTCTAGACCTTTATACTACTTACGTAGTTACACCTTGAGATGTTTTATGGCAACTTTCAAATATAATGGAGTAAAGTTGTGGGGGTTTTTTTATTAACAAACTGTTGTTGGAAGAATTGGACAGAACTGATCACTTCAAACAGGTTACAGAATCCCCTTTAAAAGCTTACCCTTTCAAGTAAGACTGGCATTGTTCCAACTTGCTCTGGATTAACATAAAATATACTCCAAGTATTTCAATGTGATTTTCACTAATATTAAGAATATTAGTTTCACCTCGCTAGTCTGCTAATCTGTGCCCTCTAAATCTGAAAATACATGATTTGGCAAACTGCTTAAAGATAAATTTTACTATTCTCCTAAAGCAACTAGGAAGCAACAAGTAAGTCTACACTGAACTCCAAACTGATTCATATTTTGGTTTTAAAGTAGTCTTCATGGTATTATATTACTAGTTTTATAACATTATAATATGGGAGTTAACAAAAAATACTATTCTAATCTGTTTCTATTTAACATCCCTTTTTGCTGTTTAACAGGCAGTAAATACAGTAGAACAGAGAGTTATTGTTATCGCCGAGGAGGAAAAAAAAGCTTTCATGCAATACTTCATTGACTCCATGAAGCCAAAGGATAAGGTCATCATTTTTGTGGGGAAAAAAATTACGTATGTAATCACTTCCCAGTATTACATCTGTTCGGGTTTTTTTTCTAACAAATACTGGATAGCTTCTTAGTTTGCATAATAATTACCAAGTGTGACAGCTAGTCGGCAGTGTGCTGGTAATAGTAGTATATTTATTTATTTATCCATTCATTCATTCAGACTGACTGGTAGTTTGTATCCTTCTTAATATCGTTAGTGGTGGTGGTAAATCTGAATTTTACATTGTTAAATGAGACATAAAGATTCTCGGGGATATGTTAATGTCATGTACTGTTTATTTGCATACAGAGCTGGTGCATACAAGACCTGATTGGGAGGGGGTGGTTCTTGTACCCTACCCAAGCTTTTTGAGTGAACAACACAAATATTGTCTATTCTTTCTCTTATAAATACAAGCAAACATTTTTGTGGGGAATAGTCTTGCTTTCATGCCAATTTATAATAAATATCAGCTGACTTAGGTAGGGTTTTCCCCTTAGGCACACATTTATCTTTTGTTGTCACGTTACTATCTTTTGGATCTAAATCTAGATGCTGCACTTTTTTTTTTTTTAAAACTTATTTTTTTTCTTGTTAAGAACCATTGCTTTATTTCATCCTAGAGCTGATGACTTAGCAAGCGACTTTGGTCTCCAAGGAATTCCAGTACAGTCACTTCATGGTAACAGGGAACAGTGTGATCGGGAACAGGCTTTAGATGACTTCAAGAAAGGTACATTTGTACCTAAATATTCTTTTTTTTTTTTTTTTAACCCAGATTTTTAAAGCTTGTCATGTGCAGAACTTTGTCTATTTGTAAGTGCCATGTCTCTTCAGCGCCACAGAAGTTATAATATTAAAAGAGCTCTGAATGACATGTTTACTTTGTTAATTTGACAAGCAAAAAAACAAAGCAAGAGATTGCTCTTCAGTAAAATTTGGAATGTCTAAGAGTTAAATAATTTAAGGCTTATTTTATTTTTGAGATCTCTGTGGAAATGTCAATATTGTGTTAATCTACAGAATGGTAAATTTAAGTGTCAAATGACGGTCCTTTCAGTGAAACAGTTATGCTCTTGATTGTGCCAGTTACGTGATCACATGCTAATAAAACAAAGAGTAGTCCTTTGATAAGGATGACAACTGAGAATATAGTTGTTGAAGTTCTGTTCTTTTCACAGGCTCTTTGTATCAGCTAGGCATGTTTCCTGCTTCTCCTGCACCCTGCTGTTCTACTTGTGAAATACAAATAGTAAAGTGACATTTTCAGTGCTTGCTTACCACCTTGTATTTGAAGCTAACTCAGTGTGATGTGCAACAAACATATTTTTCATTTTTGTGTTAAGAATGTGTGCATAATACACTAGAAAATCAATATACTGGAGTATATTTTCTGTCTGTTCTATAAACTGCCATTCTCTCACTGTTGTGCTTATTTTAGGCAAAGTCAGAATACTGGTAGCTACTGACTTAGCATCCCGTGGCCTTGATGTGCACGATATTACTCATGTTTTTAATTTTGACTTCCCTCGCAACATTGAAGAATATGTTCATAGAATAGGTCGTACTGGAAGAGCAGGGTAAGTGTTTACAAGAAAACAGTAATATATGGTCAATATTTTATGCACTGCATAGGTGTTTCTTTTGTCGAAAGCTAGAGCTATAGGTGATGTGGAGTGGGGGAGTGAAGACTCCAGAGTCTATCAAAGTATGTTTTAGATAATAACACACTGCTTTATGTTTTGAAATCAGTTCACTGTTAAATTCAAAGCAAACAAGTTTTCTACTCTTCTGTTATTTTGTTGAAGTGGATGGGAATGAGGGATGTTTGAAAGCTGGTTTAAATGTGGGGAAGAATTACAGATCAAAACATCTTCTGTGTAGGTATTCTCAAATGTCACTTCCTTGTTTGTCTCTTCTCAGTCATCTGAGTGTTTAGTTTCCTAGACAGCCCATTGGGTAAGAAACATAGATAAGTTTTCAGCCTATCATGGTGGTGTGCTTTGATGTTAGGACTTTTGAATGCTGCTTTCCCAGGTTGGCAGAAGTGTGATTTTTCTTCTGTGTGTGTGTGTGTGTTTATTTTAGTCATGGTATTAATGTATGTCTCTTCATACTTAAATATGTTGTCTTTATGCTGGGCTTATTGTCTAAAAGTCTAAATTAGTTGTGCCTTTGCTCCATTTTAGGTGAATTGCCATATTCTGATCTTTATGAAAAGTTGCTTTCTGTCATGTGCATAGTAAATACTCAAGCCAGTTTTATCTACCATTTCAATAATATTACCTGTAACACAATTTATTACTGCATGGATCAGTAGGAAAAGCCTAGCAGCAGTTGCTTTGAAGATCAACAGTTATTTCGTTCCTTGTTTAGACGTACTGGGGAGGCAATAACGCTTGTCACTAAGAATGATTGGAGGGTTGCATCTGAGCTGATTCAAATTCTGGAAAGAGCAAAGCAAGTAAGAATACATCTTACTGGGTAAGATTAATGTTGGTTCTGGGTTACCACCTGAAACAGTTCATGAAGGTCTAAGCCTACTTAAACCTTAATTGGTGAGCGTTTGTAGTTTTTTGTGCAAAAAGAATGGGTTCTTAAGTCTCCCTTGTCCTGGATATCCTTAGCTGTATTTTACAGATGAAAAGAACTAGGAACTTTAATCAAAGCCTTCCATGTCCAAAGAAAAAGTAGCTAACGTATGTGCACATAGAGGTCTGCAGAGGAATAATAGGATCTATTTTATTTCGTCGTACTTTATTCCATTTGTATTTTACTTCTGGATACATGTACCAATGTTCTTGTTTGATAGTGTAAATTTTAACATTATTTATATCAGAACCACCTCAACTATCTATCAATTTATTATAGCTGGCAGTTGTGGTATCTGCCTGTATTTTTCCGCGCTAGCTTTCTTACAGATGTTTGTAAATAGTAAGTAGGACTGGAATGTGATTTGTTTCTTTATTTTAAAGAAATTTTTTTCTTCCTGCCATATCTGAGAAGCCAGAGACAATTATGTTGCTGTTTCTTGCTCTAACAAGGAACAGTATTTTGCCTGATCTATAGTAAACCCCCAGTTCATGCCCTAACTAGAGTTGAAATTTGTTTAAGGTGGTTCTTTTTTTTTATTTGGGGAGATGGGAGTTTGATGAGCACCAATTAAATTGCTTTTCCCTAGGACCTGTGGTTGTTACTGTGGACAGTTACTCAAACTTTAAACCTCGAGTTAGAACTTCACCTATATCTTCTGTTTTACAACTTTTCTTTGAAAGATGTTACGCCATTTACTGCAAACCTGATAAGATGCTTCTGAGGGAGGAAAAGAAAAAAAACAAACCCAAAGCTGTCCCCAAATAATTTCTTAAAGTTGCAGGTTGGGGAGCATGTGTGAGTGTGTTTGGTTTTGGTTTGTGTTTTAGGGGTTTTTTGTTGGGAGAGGGGTGTGGTTTGGCGGCTTTTTTTTTTGCGGGGGGGGGGGGAAAAAGTGGTGTTTCCGGGGTTTTTTGGTTGTTTTTGTTTGTTTTTTGGTTTTTTTTTTTTTTCAGAAAATGTAAGAGATGCAACCAGTAGTGATACTCTGAAGCCACTTAAATAGTACTTAGGGGTGCCGCCTTCTGTATTCAAAGTCGGCCATTACCATCCATGCCTTATCTCATGGTGCAGACTGTGAAGTTCCCAAACTTTTCTAATGTATGATGGTTCAACTGGGAACGGGTCTCTGAGTTCAGAGGAGAAAAGAGCATCTCTGAATCCTTACTTTCAAGGGTAGCTGTTAGTCACAGCATTATTCTCAAACTTCTGGTTACAGCTCATAGAAAGGAAGTATGCATGCAGGCAGGGGGGGGTTTTCCTCATGACAATGAAAATACCATTACTTCAGTCTTACAGCATCATGTAAAAGGGAAGGAGAGCAACTGAAAACATGGTCTGAATGTTCAGAATGCTTCAATTTCAAAATAACTGAAGTGCATTCATTAGCCAGATGTTTTCCATGATTTTGAATATACAGATAATCTCCCTAAAGTAAAACAGGTACAACAGAAGGATTTCTCTATCGTGCTGCCGGGATCTTTTATATATAAAGCTTATTAAGAAGCATGGACAGATTTATTAGGGAATCAGGTGGAGAAACACTGATCTTTGTAGTATCAAGAAGAGCATTACATATATACTATGGTATCTTTACCCTTTTGTGTTTTCTCTTTTGGACTACCATACGTGGTTTATGTTTAGCAGATACACAGATTGTCCATGTGAAAATCTCAACAAACCACTAGATGCTGGATGTTCACTTTACTGAGATTTTTACATCTACATCCTGTCTTGAAGTGCTGTGTAAATGTAATGCTTAAAAACCACTCTTGCAAGAAATTGTTGCAATTTTAGTTGGAGTAAATTCTGTTTCATGCTGTAGGAGAGGAGCAACCTTATCTAGTTAGCAGTTTCCCTCCTCACTGCAGGGGGGTTGGACTAGATGACCTCTAGGGGTCCCTTCCAACCCTAAACACTCTATGATATGATTGTATCTGATACTGAGGAAGAAAATCATCCAGTGTTTGAACTGAAAAATAACTTTGTCTGATAACTTCTGTTTCTATTGATACAAGTCTTTAGTGACTTTCAGCTAGAGAGGTGCATCATTTTTCACTTTCTTGTTAAACAATGTCTAAAACTGAGGCACAATAGACTGTTCTATAGGCATCCTGTTCCGTGGATTCCTGACAGCCAGGGCAGTTGTTTACCAGTAAGAGCAATTCAGCACATAAAATACATGCTAGCGAGCTGATGCTCCTGCTAGCTTAAGAAAAATTGCTGATAGCAAATGGCAAGCATTGGTGAATTACAAAGCCTGACAGAAGTTGGAACTGGAGGAGTATACCTTCCTGTTCCACCAGGTCCTCTGGCCTGGCTGCATTCTTCACCCATTCGAGCATTGCCAGGTCTAGGTGTTTCTAAGGAGACTTAACAGTGTTTAAATTTGTTTGTACTGCACTGTTTGTGCTGCATTTGTGCCACTGATGGAGGGAGAAACCACAGAGATGAGCAATCACATTAATACCATGCTCACATGCACTGCAGAAGCTTGCTCTTCACTCTCTGATCAGGAAACTGATTCTGGACAGGATATCCTCTACCGGCTGCATGCTGTAAGAGATTGTTGAAGCAGGCTGGTTTTGATAGGTTAGTGATCTAAAAACCCTTTTCTGACAGTAGTCACCCGTCCGGATTTTGGCAGTAAACATTGCATTAATGTTTGCATTATGCCTGATCTGGCTTAAAACGACTTGGACACTGCCTTTGTTTCGTCATCTGTAAAAGTGGTACATGGGGTTTTTTTTCTTTCATTCAGTGTCACTCAACTTTATAAAGTCTGTCTAATTCTTTGCATCTGGCCTCAGTCCTTACGAGCATGAGTAACTCTAAGGTGACAAAGCGTGCTGATGGTACGATTCACCTCCTTTTCCACATCATTACAAACATGCCCAAAAGCACCGTGGATCTTGGTAAGATGCTCTTGTCACCTCCCAGTGGTGGGAAAACTGACCACTTTCTCCTGCTCTTCTTTTTCTTGTCTTTTAGCTTTGTTTTATCCCTGTGAGAACCCTTCCTATGGCAACACTTTCTTTTAAGTACGAAAGCTTCTCTTCAGAGGCTCTTAGAACTTCCAAAAGGAATTTAATATCAATCATAATAGTGTAACATTCAAGTATATATATACACACACACGTGTATGTATGGTATCACCTTTTAGTGGCATTGGACATTTTTTCCAGCTGTTTATTATCACTGAGATGCCTTTTACCTTTCTATCTGAAATACAAACGTTTTAATTAGCTGGTTATATGTTGTCGTCAGATACGGTGATACTAATGCACATATGTAACTGAAAATCCAGGGACACTGTACTGATTATTTTTCAGTATCATTTTATGTAAAAAGATTTCCCTGTGTATCTGTACAGAAAAGACAATCTGCAGAGTGACAGGAGCCAGAGAAATAACAAAATCAATAGCATTTTTGTAAAGCAGAGTCTAACAATTTAGACTTACTTAAAACTGACTTTGTTCTTGTGCTGCTTTCTTATCAGGTAGTTCCTAACGAGCTTATTGCAATGGCAGAAAGATACAAACAATTCCAAATCAGAAAAGAAGTTGACAAGGATATACAAAGACCTCAGAGAAAGCCCTCAAAATAACTAATCCCTTGAAGTCACTGAAACAAAGTACGTGATTACGGTTAGTGATAGCATCTATGGGCTTGAATTCGGAAGTTTCTTTTCTCCATTGATTTGTTTTCTGTACCTGTCCCATCTAAATAAAATGTGTTTTAAAAGTGGCTTAGAAAAGAAAACTGGATTAAATTTAAATAGACATGGACACGCTTTCTTCACTTAAGATTTTTTTTTTTTCATGTGCTATGTGTATAACTTCTAAAGCCATTATCTACTGGCTAAAAACAAATACTGTGGGTTGGTTTGGTGGTTTGTTTGTTGGGGGGGGTTCTTTAGTTAAATGCGGTACTAATACATAAGAATGTAAATTTTTCAGAGATGTGGATTAGTGAATGTAAGTAATGTTTGTCAGTGTGGCTTCAAAATACTGTACTTCTGCATTGATAAACCACATCTAGCAGGGGCATGTAGAAGTATTTCTAAGGATAACTCAAGTTATTTGAAAACTGCTCTGTTTGTAGTAACTGATGTTTGCTGAAGCAAGGTTTGTTTGTTTGCTTTTTTTATTTTAGTGATTTTTGTTAAGACTTGTCTTTCAAGCTTTTTTTGAGAGAAGTCTGCATTTCCTCCTAACAGAAGAGATCATAACAAGACTTATGTGTTCATGGCTAACTGGGAAGAAAAAAAAACAAACCACACCAGCTTCTACTTTTGTTCTGATGGATGTCATTTTCTTGCTTAAGGAAGAAAAACAGAGTTCACAAGAGCAATGTTAACAAAGTTGTGAAGAGAAAATACATTTGTATGTCGTATTTTATTTCTTTCAGATAAAGTTGACTCACATTTTACATTTAGATGCCAGGTTCTGTCACACAGACTGCAAATGATAATGGAGTGTTTTTTCACTCTTTGAAAACTACGTGGGAAGGGCCTATTCCATCATTTGACACCTGGTCTGAACTTGTGTTTATTCATGTGTCATGAGTAAATGAAAAATTAATAAACTGACTGTAGTGAGATAAGAATATTTTAGTAAAATTATTCTCTAAATGTTCTTCTGGACTTCCCTTTTTTTTTTTTTTTTTTATTTGCTCATAATTGAGGTGAAGTCTGGGCATTATTTAAACCAGTAGGTTATTTTGCCTTCAAAAAGTAGGCTAAAAATATGGACTTCCCATGGCTCCTTTAAGAAAAAGCAAAAGATGTATTTGCTCACAGCACAGCAGTTCCCAAATGCTGTGTATTTATCACCTGCACAATTTCAGTAATAGGAAATATTATTTTTTCCTAACACACATACTCTTAAACACAAGAAAAATTGAGCTGAATTCTGATTCCAAGCGTGTCAGACTCATTTGCAATTTGGTTTTGATAGCCTTTCACATGGAGACTCTTCCTCCTTGATGTGGGCTTTTTTCTACAGTTGGCACAATAACTTTTACTCTGTTGCAGCACAGTAGATAATGATCACTTCCTGACCAAAGTCCATTGAAAAAACTAATTTCCAAAGCAGTTCTGAAGACTCGGAAAAGATAAGTTGTTTCAGGAACTTCATGTTGTTTTGATACCTTATTCTGTCCCTGCTCGCTGTTGCTGGTGATTGTCCTCTGAAGAAGGTCTTCATCCACCCAGCTGATCTGGTTTATGCCAAAGTAACTTGTGACTTTTTTTTTTTTTCTTCTTCTTTGGAAAGCACGAGTGTATTTCAGATATTCTGCAGTGGTTTTTCATTTTAAATAAAATTGTCGTTTTTCACTTTACAGAGTCATTGATGCCTTTGTAGTCGGAATTGTAGAAATTGCACGTGGGAAATTAACTATTGCAAATTCTTCTGTATGTTCTTAGTATACCTTGATATTTTTGCAGTATATTTTGCAGGCGACATCTACATTTGGATAGGGAAGATTAATATTACTTGAAACACCCTATTTCTTTGAAGGGTTGTGTTAAGCAGCATGACTGAAATATTTTGTTTGGTTTTTTTTTTTTATTAGACTACTGAAGATTAACACAAAAAATATACAACTTCTGGTTTTAAATATGCAAATCTACACTATTAGATTAAAAACTGTTTACAGTAACTAACAACTATCCTGAAATATTGGGAATCTGTTGTTCAGTTGATGGCTTATTTGTCTTGAAAGGAAATCACTGCTCGCTTTATCTTCCCGGCTGAGCAAGTTGTATCGGGGAATAAAAAAGTGTGGCAGCCGAGACTCTTGCAGGCAATCCAGAAAAAAGCCCAGATATTTCTGAAAGCAGTGATCCAGGTCTCCCACATGCCAGTCTGTGTCATTTGGCCACATGACACACGAGTGGAAAAAAGCAGTTTTGACATGGTATGAACAGAACTTTTCCAGCTCTTTTGTATGTTTCATTTTAAGTCGCTCTAGAAGATACTTCAGAAGCTTAAGACAACCTTTCCTGTTAAGTAAACAAAGAATTTATTAGGTGCTTTCTACATAGTCAATTCTAGCTAAGTATTTTAGGTATTTAAATGCACGTTACTCATTAAAACAATACAAATGTTCTTGCTCTATTAGAGTAACATTTTCAATAATGTTTTGCATAAAATCTGAAAAGTAAGTGCAGCAATAGGCTGGATAACCCATGAGCTACTGTCTCTGAAGTCGGGTTCTAGCGATGAAGGATTTCTACTTTAAACAATAGTTCTTGCGCGTGCACCGCTCTCGCTGGGACCCACAGCAACAAACCCAGAAATACCAAGTGCTGGTCAGCAGCGTGCTTACGCGGGACAGCCTCCCAGCCACAGGTGCCACCAGTATAATGTGAATGTGGAGCACCGCTTAAGAGAAAAGCTGCCCTTTGGGCTTGGGTTTACACCAAAGGAAAGGCCGCTGCCTCCCTGTGGCACGCCACGAGGGGAAAAGGTATGCATAGTTTAATAGGCTGCTAGGTAGGGGCATGGCATATCCAATAATATTCATAAAACAAAGAGAAGGAGTTACGCGTTAGTTCCCTTGTGACTTACTTGATTCAGTATAAGATGCAGTGAAGTAAACTATGAAGTTGATTTGCCATTAAGGAGGCTCTGTACCTCATCTGGGCTTTTTTCTTTCCCTTTGAGGAAATGTGGAAACCAGTTTTTATTGGAGGGAAAAATTGCATTAATTCATCCTGACCCCATTCAGTGGTTCTTTTCTCACCACCACTTTAGAAGCTGCCTTGGTACGAAGTGTAATTTTGTTCCCAAAGCTCAGAGAGCTGAGTCATCAGACTTTTAACCTGGTTCTTCTACACAGGACTGAGTTTGGGAAAGATTGTTTAACAAGTTGCATCTTTTTGCTTTTTTAAGGCAAGCCTGGAGCGTAAACCTGCAGCGTGATTTGTTTCCACTGCTTGCTGAGTAAACGCAAGTCAGGCGTTGAGCGAGTACGTGCGATGTTGTACTGCTGTAGAAGAACGACGCCCAAAAGCCTCGTTCTTGTTCCCTATTAGGGCAATTAGTCTTAGATCAAATTCATCAATGTTAAACTGAAATAGTGCTAGCCTGGCTCACACAGGCTTAACATAGAATATTCTGGTGAAATACCAACCTACAGCACTTCGGTCCGTCTGCTTCACAACAGGTCTTTGAGCTGCCGTGGTTGTTCATCATGGCCTTCTCAATGTGCGAGAAAGAGAGTCGCCAGGTGTTCCCTAAAGTTGGGTACAAGATTGTTAAGTCATTACACAGCAGTCAGTACAGGTGGCTGCAACTAGGGGGGGAAAAAAAAGACACTTTATAGTTGACTTCATTTTAAATATTGGCAATTCCTTTGCACTTTAAAAAAAAAAAAATAAAAATTTGGTGGCTACGATTAGTTAATTCCTCCTTAATTCCCCAGCTGCTTCACACAAAGACAATGAGAATCTTTATTAATATAGGACACAATTGTTCGGATGCTTTCACTCCATTCTTGAGAACATTTGGATTTACTTCAAAATTAAACTTAATTCTGAACTTCCCTGCATTTGTTGAACACAATCTGGGGAATTGCACTACTCATAGAAATCACCAACCCTGGAATTTCTGCTCTTTATTATTGGCCTTACTGCGTAACCATTCTGCTTTTGAATATAAAAAATTGTTCACTATTGGTTTCAATTTTTTTGTGCAAGCGATACGCTTTTGAGTTTGTCTCAGGGCAGGTGACTGTTCTAAACCATTTATTTTTGTTCTTCTGGTAATGTTTCTGAAAACAATCATTAACGTAGCTCAACAACCTGTCTTTAGAACACCAGCAATTTTTTTTTTTTTTTTCTTCCTTAGGTAAGTTAAGATGGTTTCCCTTGCCTGTTTGGTTCAGTTACTCTTTGCATTTAATTTTCACAGGAGGAGTTAGCCCAAGAGAGCAGTAGTGATTTATTTGGTATTCTTAAGATGGGCATGCTAATTAAAAAAACAACAACAACAAAAAAAAAAGATTGCCCGAACTTTTTGCTGAGATCATCCGTTCTCAGAAAGCAAGGACAAGTTGAGATGTTTAACAACAACAACAACAAAAAAAGATTGCCCGAACTTTTTGCTTTTCTCAGAAAGCAAGGACAAGTTGAGATGTTTAACTAATGTAGGCTTGGTGTGACAGTGGTCTGGAGAAAGAAGAAAAAAGAAAAAAAAAAAATAGCTATACCAGAGTTCCTCTAGAAATAATGTATCTGGCTAGAAAAGTACACACTTTGCTTCCTGCCAAAGTATATACAGCATACAGAGGGATGTTCCCTGCCTTTTTAGAAGTCTGTTGATTTACTTTTTTTTTTTTCCTCTCCTTTCAAAGTAAAGGAGTGGACATGTCTGTTCAGTCCAGCACCAGCATGGGAAAGGTGCCTGCCTTGCCGTAACAGATTTAATGCAACACTCTTGGGAAGGGTTAGTGTGCAGCCTGGCAGAGCAGTTTCAGTGCAGGACAAGCAGTGTCACGAATCTGATGTTTTATAGAGGGATTTCACTTGTCTTTGGTCTGGATATATCCAGGCTGAGATAAAGATCTGCACCTCGAAGGCAGAACACTCAACAGACTCTGGATACCCTTTTTTACAACCTGATCGCTTACAAGTGCTATAGAGAAGATACTTCATGACTTAGACTTATTGTCGGTATGTGAGGTACCTCTTGGAACCTTTTCTCTTTTGTTTTCTTTGGCTACTAAATAAAGTGTTCTGTTTCTGAACTCTCCCCTGACTTTTCTTCCCAGCCACTGTTCAATTTTGAGGCCATCCTGTGTGCTGGGCGGCCAGCTCTGCTGCACTTCCAGAGTCAAGATGATGTCCACGGATATGTCTGCCGGAGGATTTTTGATCTGAAGAGTTATTGCAGGGCTTCCAACCTTTCTCCTTTTCACAGTTACTTCCACATCTAATAACAGAGAAGAAATTGATTTTACATATATAAATATTTATATATTAGAAAATGGGGTTTTTTTAAGAATGTTAAAAGTTTTTACTTAGGAGGAATTTGTAATCAAGCAAAAGAAATACTGGGTTCGGTCGCTGGCTCTGCATCCTACAGGACATAGATTTTAAATAAAACATTAAGAAGGCCTGTTGAGGGATTCTATGAAATAGGGAACACTCCTTTTGAACCGCTGTGTTCACTTGATTTACTGTAGCTACAGAATCAGAAATACAGTAATGTTTTCCCATGAACTTCTTCACTGTTGAAAACACTGAAGAGATTTGGCCACGATGTTTCTGAAGGCTTTGGAGAAAAAAAGCACCCTAAAAAGGGCTATGTTTCATATATAGATCAATATAAAATATTAGGTAATGCATAAAAGAAAGCTCTTCCTTTTGCTACCAGTTCAGCATACGCCTCTCTGTATACAGCAGGTAGACTCAAAATATATAGGTCAGGTAGGAAGTGCCAAGCGTGCGACAGAACCCTGAACATTCATTATTCTAACGAGGATTGCATAGTGGAGCAATGGGTTAATCGCATAGCATGATCGGCTCCGATGTAGTTGCGGTGATTCTCAGCAGAAGAGCAAATTTGAGATACGGGGGACAGGAAGGGTTACAGTTACAGCTACATTGCCACAAAGAGACAATCGACTGGGGGAAAAACATCTTAACAACGAGGTGATACATATGCACAACGTAAATGGATTTTTTAAGCACTCTTCCTTGAAGCTTGTTCTTTCAGTACTTACTTGTAATGTTTTTTACTTCTTGTTTAATAATTAATCTTAGCGCTTGAAGCATTTTAAGGGCTGATAATTTTTTTTCTTCATCTAAAAACTTCGAAAAATACTTTTCTTTTGGATTTCTTTTGAACGATAGATAATAATAGGCTCCCGTGTCATCACTTTCATCCAGCTGAAGTCTTGCAACAGGCATTACAAGCATGATGTCAAACTCGTTTGGTTCAGATATCTGCAAAGTACAAGAATACAACAGTCAACACGCAACTTGGGTTTCAGTCTCTTTAGGCTTTTATCCTGGTTGCGGTTTTATCTGGAACTGCCTTGGTCTACTTTTCATGCCTGGCATGAAACAGGAGCCTATTTCTGCGGGTTTGTATTACAAGATTGCTGTGCATTTGAGTGGAGAAGGGCAATTTACTGGCAGCAGTTTGTTTCCCAGCTTTCCAGCTTACTAATTCTTAAGAGAGTTTTAAGATTCTTAAGCTGTGCTGAGAAACACGTAAATGCTGATCTTGGTCATCCTCTCGCACACAGGAATCAGCAGTGAGGGGAAACAAAAATTAATTGCTATGCCTGCAGCTTCTTTTTAAAAGAAGTGTTCCGGTGTTCCAATGTGTTTCAGACCGAGCTGGAACCAGAAGAAAAAAAAAAAAAAAAAAAAAAAGAAAAAAAGAAGGTATTGCTATTTCTCCTGCTTTCTGAAGAAACTCTAAACTGAAACTATAAACTAAAAATTCTCACCCGCCTCGCCCTCCGGTTCCGCGGGGCTTACCTGCGGGCTCTGCCTGCAAAGCCAGTCCAGTCCAGGCAGCGCCCCTGCCTGAATGCAGGCGCATTCGCCCTCCAGGAAGTCAGCAATTTTACAATTAATTGCTGTTAAGTAACGTAGCGATCCTTGGAAGCCTC